CGTGTGCGTTGTACTCTAATAAGTACTTATTATAACTCATTAGACACAATTGGGTTGTTACCTACGAATGAATTATGGATGATGTTGCATCGGGTAATAGAAGTTGCATCGCTACAAAACGTAAAGGCTAATAGAACGGAGGTTTTGAGAGCACACACACACAAACACAAATAAAGTTCTGAAACTCCTCGCATGAGTTTATTTAACTAGCACTTTGTGGATGTAATCGAGAAAATCGGCGGCAACCGCAATCGGTTTATGTTACAGGTATTATATGAATATGGAAAATTCGGTAAATCAGCTGGTGAAATTTAATTGGAGCCTATTAAAATCCGAATCAATTTTTTATCGACGCAAAGGGGACGGGGCCTCAGCACCTTCTGGAAGAAAAATCCCTTTTATGACACCCGAGTTATTTGAAATTGGATCCTTTGAAAACAAAGTTCCGCGCTCGAAGGAAGCGGGCGTTAGTCGGGAATCAGCCGGATAGCGCGGGAAAGTCCGGGGGATTTTCCTAAAAGGATATTTTAAACATTTATTTTCGAGACGTGTCGCCGAAGAGTTGGCGCACTTTTCATACGTTTCCCCGTTCGTTGAGAACAAATAAAATTAAATCGGACACGTTACGTGTATTCCTCGCGACAAATTCCCCGATAAGCTTCCTTTTTATCGTCGAAATCGTCCGGATTTTACTGGCGATACACGCAATTCCGACGCGCCCTTACGACTCGAAACACGCGCTCATATATTTTTTTTTATTCCTCGCGCCTCCGCATCCCCGACGCCCCGGGAAATATTTGTATAAATTTGCAACTACTGAAACCCCCTTATGCAACATCGTTTATAACCCCGACCTGTCATGTTCCGTTACAACTAGAATAATGCCGGGGAAAGAAAATTTTCATTTTCCTTCTCTCGCCGCTGAAATATTTATTACTCTTACGTCAAACGAATTACGAATTACGTGCGAGTCCTGCTCGATCCGAAACGACTGTTTCGTTTCATAAATTTCAAATCGAATCAATTGCTAGAATTTTTCATTAACTATTTATTTTGATAAAAACAGTACCTACTTAAAAACTACACATATATTGTATTCCCTGGTTCCTAAATAACTGGCAGTGGCTCATGTTTCAAATTCTTGAAAAATGGTGCTAGTTTTTTAGGAACCAAGGTATAGATGATTTAAATGCGTTTGAATTAGAGATGGTATATCGTATATGCGATGCAACTATTCCTTTTTCATAACTATATTGTACATTTTGTACGGTTTCACCGTAAAGCAGCCTTAATTTTATTTCCACGGGCCGTAATTCCGGTAGATTAAATCGTCCACGTCAAATATTTTATGGGCGTTCAATACGCGAACGCGTAATTTAGTGCCGACAAACGCAAATCGTTGGTAATTTACGACTGATTTATTTATCGTTTTCATACGTTTTTCCCCCCCTTTTCGAAACGGAGATTATTTATCGAAATATCACGTACTATGCGGCCTTTCAAGGACTCTAATGGGGTCGATAAAATTCGATTTAATCGCAAAAAAAATCGTGTAATTGGTTTACACTCCGGATAATAAAACGCCAATTGGGTACTTACGATGCTATTTTAAATAAGTCGAAATTTACGGGGTGGATAATTAACGACAGCCGATAAAATTGCGGAACAAATCAATTCGAATTTCGGGCGAATAAATTTTTTTCAACCGGCCGTGTGATTTGATAACGATAGAAACGATCGTTTCTAATTTAAGTCGCAATTAAAGCCGTTGTGTAAAATTAATACGAAAACACGGTGGAAACAAAATTAAAAAAAAATCAACGCCGAAACGGGCGAAGAACTAACTGGGGATTTTCCGTCTCTCCGCCATGCACGAGTTTACATATGAATGGATTAATTAAAACCGCGTGTTTCCAGTCGAATTACCGGGATTTTTTAACGCGCCTGAAATCCAACCTAGTAATAGCACGACAAATAATAAACGCCTATTCCAATTGCAATCTGCATAAAACTATCTTCTCGTATAACCGCCAGTTATCCTACCGACCGCGCCAATTACTCCTACACATCGCCCCAATCGAATTTCCAATTGTCTATAAAATATTTATAGAGAAAACACTCGCGGGGAGTTTGTTGTTTTTCGGATGGTAAGCTCGATTTGAAGCGGAGCAAACGAAGCGCGTTCGCCGCCCCCGCCGCCCGGCTTTCTATCGGGTTACTCTTATTAAATAAAAGATCGTGCCGGTGTCGTTCCCGCGAAAATATATCCAGAACAATGAGCTCGGCGGTTATGTCAACTACAAGGAAATTGATTTCGGTTTGTTCCTACTTCTAATTTTGTATGTGTAATATTAGACGCACAGTTGATACCAAGAGTTTACTTAGTATGGACACCTCTGAAGAATCGATAAAACTAGAAAAAATATATGGCAGTATATAACTCCTGAAGATAGAAAGCATGGTAGACCATCTAGGTCTCAGAAATATGTAGAAGAGGCTATGGAGGCTAGAAGTAAGGATATTAAAGTCTATTATCTTCATTTTATACTCACCAAATAATTTACTCCAAAATTCATGAAAAGTACCAAATTTTTACTAACTACTTAGTGAAATACCAGCTTGTTTCGGAGCGGTAAAGCCGAACAAATTCATCCGAATACCGAAGCAGTTAGCCTAATGACCTCTTGTGCGGGTCTCCGGCAAGGTGAGAGTAATCACGGCGGGGATTCCCCCGACTTAACGGCTACAACATCGATCACACCGGTTGCTTCTGGTCGGTGTAGCTCGATCCGATCGATCCCGGCGTCGAGTAAAAACGCGAGGGGAAATTACGCCGACCCTTCGACCACTTCAAAAGCTACTTTGTTTCTTTGTAAAAGGCGGAACCCGAACGGCGAGCGCCGGAGAGAGATCCGGGTCGGGATGCCTCCGGATTGACAAGAAGTTGTACGGAGAAACGGTAAAGGAAACGTGCGAACTGAATTAAATATGAACCAGATAGACCGGCGTTGAATTAGTAAACAAATCTTGTGTCTATCTTAACGTCGCACCCCCGAAACTCCATCCGGAATTCCGATGTGTATAAGTAAAGAGGATAAAGTGTGTTATCCCGCTGACTGCGCCAATTACGTTTATTTACTTATTCGAATGTATAGGGCGATTGTTTGTGTGTGAATTCCGGTAGTTTCAATAAGGTAGAAAAATTGTAGGAAAATTGGAGCGATTTTCCGGCGAATGCAAGGGTTCGGGCCGGGAAAAGATCAGATGCTGCAAAATAATGATATGCCCCCGCGCTGCTCGCGCCCCTTTCGGTCTCCGACTGGCACCCCCTCCAGCAGGGCGCTTCGTCGCAGATACGCCAGGAGGATTTCTCTCTTCTCTGGCGTGTTTTCCCAGTCCGGATTTTCCGTTTACTGCCGGTAGAACGGTGTAATTTTGCGGGAAAATTCCGACGATACGCGGCTTGTTCGACGACGAGGAGATTTTTTTCTAATGAACTTTGCCGCGTTATTTTAGCTGTACGTTTTTCGAAAATCGATATTTGTGCCATGTAAATGTATTGAACTTGCGGTTGTAGTGCTTATTTAAGACCTCTTTAGACATTCATGGTGGATTATATTGAGTTTCTGGATCATTTAGGTAAGTTACAACTCATATTTAGCATGATTAGTAATGGAGAAAAATTAAATACAATATTTATGTATAAACTTCAACAAATATCTTTATTATTATACTGCATACATTATGTTATTAAACAAAACTTCATTAAAAAACTATGTAGGTCTGAAAAATTAAAGGGTTATTTTAATTTAATAGAATATAAAATTGCATTAATTTTTACTCACATCTGGGTTCTGTGCGTAATTGCATTTCATCAACTCCCAAATTCTTTCCACAAAATCGTCACCTGAGAAATTTATAAATTTAATTAAAATTATTCGCCGTGAAAATTTCTTTAAATAATTAAAAAATTTACCCTTCTTGGAAGCCTGTTCTCCGCATTTTACGTAGGAAGCTCCATTGGCGGCGTTAGGAATGGAAGGAGGTAAATAATATTTCAGTTTTTCCTTGCTTAGATTGAAATCCGTATCGATCTAACATAAAAATTTGTTAAAAACATCCTATTCAAATTGCAATTTAATTTACTTACCGCTCCCGACAACATCCACAAGCAAGTAAGGTATTTCTAAAAAGAAGCATAATAAATAAAAATATTTAGATGATAATAAATAGTTGCAATATTACTTTAGCTTGTTTGTCATCATCCTTGAAAACTCCATTAATAAGTTCAGTGATTTGGTCTTCAGTAATGTCTGTTAAGATGATGCATTTCTTGTGCCATATTACAGAGTCTCTGGCTAGATTTTCGCCGAAATCCTTATTGCGAAAATTTCGTTAAAAAAATAAAAATATAATTTTTTGAACATTACTTACCTTCTTAGCGAGTGTGCAGTAAGCCGATTGAAAAATCGAGCTTAAAACAATAGCTGATAATAGGATTAGTTTCATGATGAACAAACACTTCACTAGTAGAACAGATTTGTAATAATGGTATTTGCTAAATTTCGGGTCGTTTTATAGTTAACAAAGTTTATAGAAAAAACATCTCATTGCATCAAAAAAATCTTGAATATTCATTAAATTAACACTTATTGCGTGTTTTAGAGGTAAATTAATTAATTATAATCGTACGTTTATGAGCATGAGCATTCCTTTTTTATATAAATCAAAAATTTACATGAATTTAATTAAAATGTTTTGTTTGTAATATAGAAGTAACCCAGAAAAAAATAATCACAAATTATTATCGTTTTGACCTCCACCTATATCAAATTAATTACAAATATTTAAAAATTATGTTATACTTATGGGCATTATAATATTTCGAAGACATCTATTATTATCTATTATTAAAAGAAAGTTTTTTGACTTTCATATAGAAACTGTATTTGCGAATTTACCAATAATTTGCATAGGAAATAATTTATTAAGGATACATGTAGACGAAAACAAAGCAATAACTTTATTTTGATAAAAAATTAAGTGAAACACAAGGTAATTTTAATCATTACCAATATTTTTTTGTGTGTGGAAGAGACGTATTAAAATTATATGAAAAATCCTCATCAAAACATCACGAATTTCTGAAAATATATTATACTTGTATTAAAACAATTAATAAAAAAATCGAATTAATTACCTCAGAGGAGATGAAATAGTCGCATTGTATCATCACCCATATTTTGTCCACTAATGTAACCTTTTTACCTGTAATGAATAAACAAATAAGTGCATCATTTATAATTTATTTTGAAATATAAATGTATAATTAAGGAACATTTACCTAGACTTTTCGACATTTTGTGGCAATGTTTGTACATATCAGCCACTCTATCGTCCACAACAGATGTAACGAATTGATCAAATTTCGCCTGATTTAACTCAAAATTCCTGTCGATCTACCATAAAAATAAAAACAATAATAATAAATACAAATATATAATCAAAAAAAAAATCGTACCATTCCGGATCTTAACCAAAAACAAGCCACATATTCCTACAAAAAAAAATCAATTCGAAACTCCTTCTGTCGCAAACAGTTCAATTATTTTACCTTAATTGCGGTTTCTTTTCTGAACGATCCGTTTTTAATCTCCGATATCAAGTTTTCCGCGACGCCCGAGAGGGACACGCATCGATTCCGCACGGCCAAAATTTCATCCCTCGTCTCGCTATTGTAATCCTCCAAAAAAAACCCTTAAATCTCCAATCAAACGAATCGAAAATTTACTTACATCCACACTAATCGCGCAATAGGCGAATTGCACGAAGCACGCCAAAAACACCAGCCTCAAATTTGCCATTTTGTCAATTAACACCGCTCGCAGGAGAGTCTTCGATTAACAACAAGCATTCTGATAACCCTTATATTAATATAGAAAGACGGTGATAATGAAATTCGATTATCAAAACGGACGTTCGTTCGTTAGTAATTAGCCAATTTTACTAATCACTGCCGATTTTTTTAATTAGAAACAAATCTCACCCGGAAAGAAGTTAAAGTCCCCGTTAAATTATTTATCTTTTACTATAATACAATAATAATTCGTTTTAGGTACGATATTTAAAGCGATATAAATAGGTACTCATATAATCAATTAAAAAACAGTGTTTATTACATTTAATTTAAAGGTTTCAGTTGGTTTTATCAAAAAGTTCAACATACAATCACTACCTATTATTGTGTTTTGAAATAAGTAAAGGTTCTAACTAACCAATGAAAGAAATGCAGGAGATATGATTAACGTTTATTTCATTTATTTTTAATGTATATTTAATGTATTGTAACTCGTAAGTTCCTTATCTTCAAGGGAAGATGTAGTTCTGAAAAATTCAACAAAAACTGCATAAGTAAATATTCGTAAATTTTTCTATTTTATTTACCTCAGGATCGACGTCATGCGAACATTTCGACGACTTCCACGCCATTTCCACGAAATCTTTTTCTTCTAAAGACGGCAGAAAATAAACAATACTCTCCATCTAACGATCATTATTTAGAGATAAAGCATGACTTACCGGTTAGGCGGATTTTTTCAGCGCAATTCGCGTAAATATGCGCCACTTTTCCTTTCAAATGAGGCGGCTCCAGCGACTTCAGTTTCTCCAAGTTGCTGTGAAGCGTCGTATTGGCCTAGAGCAATTATTCATTTACATTCCTCATTTGCATCGTCCCCGTTTTCGAGCAATTAATATTAATTACGTCAAATTCGATCGATTTATGACAAAAAAAAGTGTATTATAAATTACTTACAACTTGCAAATGCAACCACAAACAGGCATTGTAGCGCTGAAAACGCAAAATATGGTTAATAATCGGAATAAGTGGGCTTTTAAACCGTTTACTTTAATGTTAATACCGCCGCTGAAATCGCCCTTTCTAGTTTGCAGGATTTCTTCTTCGGTCGCTCCTGAAATATTCCTGCATTCTTGGTGGACTATATCCGCTGCTTTCGTTAAAGCCGGTCCGTAATCCTGCGAATGGGAATACGATTAACGTTTTCCACTAATTTATTATTTTGTAATTAGTACAGACCTTGGGGTCTACGTAGCAGTAAGATGCTACAATTAAGGCGGTCAGTGGGATGAGATATTTAAGCATTTTTATGAAGTAGCCGAATTTGAATACGCTGAAAAAAAGGCACACGGTGTTAAAAAACCTATTAAATTTAATTAGAAAATTAATGGTATTTTGATGTTAATTTTGTGTGAACAAACAAAAAAAATAGGTCAAGATTTAATCACGTTATTAATTGAATAAATTCGAGAGATAGACAAATATATGAATAAACAATAATTGTGTATATAAAGAGTGTAAAAATTTCGGGCAGTATAATAAATTAGACTTACCTGCACCAGTAAGTATATCTGCTTCCAATATACTACTATATTAATTTTGAATTATCATTTACTTTATATTCGAAATATCTCGTTGTGTTAATTATTTTTTCAATTTATTTGAACTAATTACGTCGACTTGAAGACGATAACCATTGTTTAATAATTGAACAACATAATTATTAATATTGATAATTAATGAGACGCATAAGAATGTAGGTAGGTATATTTTTCAAAATACATATACACTCTGTTATAACTTATATTTTGAATTTTTAGATAACAATAAATAATAATTCGGATTAAAACAATTTTATATTAAAAAAACCGTAAATGCTGTTGAAAAACGGTATGATTGCGTTTGATAATATAATTTTAGTGCCGCAATAATTTCATGTCATATTATGGAAACATGAAATGCTAAAACAAATTAAATTTTAAATGCAACGAGACAATTAATTAAATAAATAATTATTACCTCCGGGTCCTTATTGTAGTAACATATTTCAGCGTTTACTAATTTCTGCAGGTAATCTGGTTCGGCTGAAATTAAAATAAAATATTTTGCGTTCCGGCACAACGGATTAATTTACATTTTATTGACAACATATTTGATTATATATAGTTTGAATACAAAATTTGCCACTTACTAGATCGGTTCAATTCTTCCACACATTCCACCAAATATTTATGGAATTTTCCTTTCAGCTTAGGCGGTTCTAATGATATTAAAAAATCTGTGTTTGCATGGCGGGAACCATTCATCTTATAGACAATAATATAATTACAATTAACAGAGTTTTTGATAAATATAACATGTACTTACCACACCAGAATGCAACCACATACAACCAATATATCGCTACAAAATTACAGTAAATTAAAAACCGACTATATTTAATTTCATAATTTAAAATAATTACTTTCATTTCTATACCAATGTTGAAATCACCATGTCTTACAGCGTCAATTTGCTCATCTGTAGCACCTGAAATTACACCGCATTCAACATGAATATCTATCATCAGTTGCTTTAAAGCCGGAGTGATATCCTGTTATGTATAAAAATTTCAATAATTTATTATGAAAAAGTTTTTGTGGAACATTACTTTCGGATCCATCACACTAAAAACTTGCACAACAAAAACTGAAAATAGTACCAATTTATTCATCGTGAATTGGCTTGGGAGTTTCATTTTAGATAGGTACCTACATACTTTTTCGGCGGGTACTTATAGGAAGTTGACTAATTAGTTGAGTCCCTATGTATCTCATTATTATGTAGGTATCTACATTAATGAGTACCTAAACAAAATTTAAAAATATATTCTACAATCAAGCATTAATCAACGTCACATATAATATTGTACAAGCGTCGTATATAATTATTGCGTAATTTATGTTTATAATTAAAATAAATCAACGGAATAATTTCGATACTTATTTCTCGAACATCAAATTATTTCAATTAAATATTCGCGGTGATGTATTTATAAAGACGAGTCGTTAGAAAATCTCGTCATTTATAACAAAAACAAAATGTTGAAAGTTTTCGTACTCCTGGCGCTTTTTTCCGCCGTCCATTGCGGCATGAAATTCCAGGTAAGCACCTACAAACATCCCCTTGCATATTTAATAATCCTCTAATTTAATAATTCCATATAGGATTACAGTGATTCGCTGAAAGCCATAGCCAAACAGGTGCATTTCCAGTGCCAAACCTTCTCCGGTGCCTCGGAGGAAGAAATAAACCGAGCCCGAGAGGGCGATTTCACAGGAAGCGAGGCATTAAAAGTAAAAGTTCATATTCGTAGTTTATAATACTTCTGTTGTTGTGTTAAGTTATTTAACTGGTTGTTGCCGGATTATCAACAACAATAGTTTGATTAGGAGCGTTCCCGAAGCTGATGTTATTCAATACAATAAGCTTTTACATTTTCCCAATCTATAGAGTATCGAATTGAATAGTTTAACAGTAGGATCAGGATGTAGAGAGATGTATTTTCAAAGGTTAAGTTAAGGAGATTTTATAATGTATACTCTTATTTTCCAGAGATTTATGGCATGCATATGGTTGCTTACTGGCATTGTAAGTTGAATTGTTAAATAATTTGGAACGAAAATATTGTAGAGTTTTATAGGTCGATGAAAATTTGCAAACCAATGCAGCTGTGTTAGAAAAAATGGAGCCGGAAATATTTAGAGGAAAAGGGGTCGAAATATATTCTAAATGCGCTAATAAAGGCAAAAGTTCTGGCAAGTATAATTTAAAAAATAATCTTCATAATCTGCAAATACAGTATTATGAATATCAGGATTATTTTAAATATTATATTTGTCTAGGTGGGAACATTGTGGACAAAGTTTGGGTAGCTACTTTGTGCGTTTACGAAATTCAAGCTGAGGTATGAAATTACAAAAAAATATTAATAAATATAGGGTGTTAATTAATTGAATGCCGATACTTCAGGATGTGAAAATTTTGGTGATTTTATGACAAAAAGTTTATATCAATATGAACTTTTCTTCTTAAAATTTTCCAAATATTCACAACCTGAAGTATCGGCGCTCAATTAATTAACACCCTTTAAAACAATGATTTCTTTTTTAGAATTTTATTCTTCCATAGTTTTACAAAAATGAATTTTTTAATAGTCCTATAGAACAAGGTGATAAGGTGAGAATAAATTGCTGTTAATTTGCAAGTTGTTTCTTCAATAATTAAACTATTTATAGCATAATGTGAATGTTTTTAATTAAATGCTTTATTACAGAGATTGTATTTTTATAAAACACCCAATTAGTAAACAAACTTGTTGTAATAATGACAGTAATGTGATCATTGTTTGATGGGTAATTATTATTAAAAAATAAATATGCATTATGGTATACATATAACAAATGGAATATAACAAACTTGTATTTATGGCAGGTAGTAATTCTAAAAAATAAATTACTTAAGTAAATTTTAATTGCATATATATTAACAGGAAAATTACCTCTGGGTCGATTTCATATCGACACTTATCTGCTATCATTCCTTTCTTGAAGAAATCAGTTTCATCTGAATTATTAAAAAAATTGCACTTTTATAATTACATATATAATTTCAAATTAATTGATCGTTATTGTTTATTAATCGCTACATCAGCAAACATCTTGTTTACATTCAGCTTTTTTGATAAGATAATGCAAACGAGCAATTAGCTGTAAAATTGCCACAAAATTGCCACAAAACTGGCACAACAGTACCTACTAATTTATTACCTGCCTCATTAAACCCGAAAAAACGTCGTAAATTTTATATAAATTACACATTTTTAATGCACAAAAACCATTCTTCTTAATACTTCAAACATGTCGAAACTACTCATTTTAGCTGTATTTTTGACTGTAGCCAATTGTGCTTTAAAGCCAGAGGTTAGTAGATAAATATATTTATTAATAAATTAATACTGGAATATGTAGTCAACATTTATGTACAGGAATACAGTCCGGCGTTAAAAGACATCGCAGATGAACTGCATTTCCAATGCCAGATGCTAACGGGAGTAAAGGAAGACGATATAAACGAAATTCGAGGGGGAAAACTTAAAGACAACATCGAAATAAAAGTACTAAAATGCAGATGTTCTGTAAAGAAACACACTAAAATTATTTTTTTAGAGATTTTTCGCTTGTTTGTGGATACATTCCGGAGTAGTGAGTATTTCTATTTTTAATAAAGGGTAAGGGATGAAAATTTGGGGAGCTTCCACCGCAAATTTTCGCCTAAAAATTCATTAGTTATTCACCCAGCTTATGTATAATGTATTGATAGTTGAGCGTCGGCAAGCTCGAAATCGATGAAGCTCTCGCGAAAAAAATGGAACCGCCAAACTCGAATGGTAAAACTGTGCAAATTTTTTCGAGTTGCGCCAAGAAAGGCAGGGAATCCGGTAAGATAACTTAGTGAATAAAAATTTATTGTTTGTTATTACTAATAATATTAATTGATTAAACCTTAAATTGTTGCGCAGGCGAGAAAGATATTCTGGAAAAAATATGGTCAATTAACGTTTGTGTATTCAATACAGATCCTGAGGTTAGTAGATACTATATATAAATAATTTAATTGATATTAATGATATAATATTTTTTCAGAACTTCATTATACCATAAATCATATAAAAGTGTAATAATAATGAAACATTAAATAATAAAATACGCTCTTAATAGTATAAAATGTAAAACACAACATATTTATCATAATATACTGGTTATAAAGAAATTAATAAATTAATAGCCTAATTAATTCCATCTTTAAACAAAATAACGGAGGATTAAATTCGACGAAAGTAATTACGAAGGAAACGTTAGAGTAATCGCGAAATGTTGGGCATTAGCATCTTTGAGATAGGAATTCGTTGGCTTTAAACAAAGATTAAATAATGATCAATGATAACAATAAATGAAAGCGGGATGGTAACTGGCAAACAATTAGTTTTCCGCCGTAATTAACGTTGTATGGAATCTAATTTTATACGGGAAGTCGGGCGTAAGTTATTTTCCGGAAGGCGGGCTCCGCCAAAATGGATATTTTTGATTAAAATTGCTCGAGCCGCGGCCATCAATAGTACTTTCTAATCTGAGTAAAATCATCTGAGAAGTAGTGCAATTTTTACTGAAAATTTGGTAAACGCCCGAGTTTATTACATGAATTTTTCATTATTAAGCTTCATTACATTAGGTATATATTTTTTTACTAAATTATTCGATTATTCAGAGGATAAAAAGTTATAAATAGTCCTAAATATTTTCGACAGTTCTTCGATGGCTCTAAAAAATCTGGACAATTCTAAATAGTTCTGAACAGTTCTAAATAATTTTAAAATACCCTATATGATCTCAACGTTGAGGACCAACCCGGTATAAAGAATTTATTAATAATTTTATATTTCAGTGGGTAAATTTTTTTTGTATAAACAACAAACATACAATATCTGTTATCAATTTATGCACATAGAATATATAAAGTTTATGTTTGCTGTACGCGATAAATTAAATAATGGATGTTTGTAAATGAAGAGCACATAGAAAAACCTAATTCCGGAATAAAAGGACCTTGCGGGCAAACGGGAATTCGGTTTGGAAAATAACTTTTCGCATTTTACATGCAACATTCATTCGAACAGGAGTCAATACGTTTAAAATGTGACTATTTCCTACATCAAACAAAACCGGTATTTTCCATAACGAAATTACGCGAACGATATTTATTTAATTTGCAATTTTTTCATGAACATACGCGCCTTTGATGCGGATTTGTTCGGATAGCGGCGAGTCCTGGCTAAATTATACGAATGTAACGACAAAGGGATGAAAAAAAAAATAGGTTGTGTATAATTCATTATCGAGTGATGGTTGAACCGCAAATCGTTGAAATGTTTGTAGCGCTTTGTAAATCTACAGGGTGCACCAACTTTATACCGCGTCGGCTCACGGTTTCATTATTACTTGCAAAATCTTGTAATTCGAATCGGTTTTTCCTGTATATCCACATCCCCGCAAGCCAACCCGGTGCAATAGAGACGAAACGTTATTGCCTATGCAATTGTAACCGGGAGAATTACAGCCCGGAAAATCTATGTAGAGCGCATTCAGATCCACCGTACCGATTACGTTTTGAAGTATGGCCGGTCTATCTGAAATACGGCTTGTACAGGTGGACGTTCCAAAGCGTTCGATAATGGCGGAATTTACGCCTTTAGCAGCTCCGATGAGGTGCAGGGACTTTTGGAAATATGCTTATTAGTGCGTGGTAAGTTGTACAAATTGTTCAAATGGTACCAATGGTTCAAATGATACAAATGGTTCCAATGGTTCAAATGGTCCATTTTTTTCTGGAAAATTATTTGGCTTCGATTTGAACACAGCGGGGCATCGTAGAATGCCGAATCCGGCGGAATAACGGCCGTCGAACGGCCAATCGGACGAAAAATTCAATGGTCGCGGAAACCCGTAAATCATTTCAGCGATCGGGACTCGACGAGCAAAAAAAAAACCCGACGTAACCCACGCACCGATAAAAACGCGAAAACTATTTATCTCCGCTATCGATTCGTCTTTGTCTCGATTTCGACGGTTTATTTTGTCAATTTACGCGCGATTTCCAACGCAAATCTCGCCTATTCGCTCGCCGTCAATGCCGCGATAATGAGATTACTTCTGCCGGAATGAATCGGAATTTTTTGTTGTTTCCAATAAGAAAGCCTGTGTGCAATTCTACTCGACTACAATTACCGCGAAATAACTACTAAGTAAAGCGAGTCGAACTAAACAAACACAATAACGTCCTCTGCGTTCCTCCGAATCTTCTTATTCTGCAAATTAGTCAATCCATTAATCTAATCCGCAAGTCTAATAGAGAAAGTGTAAACCTAAATTAACGTCGATGTCTGCGATTTCGCTTATGACGCTAAAACAGTACACATATACCCGATTTGTAATAGCACTATTTGCGGAATACGAATCGTCGAACATAATGTCTATTAAATGTTCACCGAGCTTTGATGTGTAATTAGACAATCAAACCGGGCCTCTTTTTATACACGATTTAATTAGCATGCGCGCCGTCAAGTAAATCGTAAATTTTCGTCCTGTTAATAACCGACTGGATATCACTTTAATTTCGCTATATATTACAATGGAGCGGCTGAGCTAATAGCTATCATTAGTACATAATTCATATGTAGCATTTAGTTATTTGAACGGGAAGCGCATAGGGCGAGCGATCGCTAAAAGCATACTAATGAGATTTAAATATAACAGGCACGAATTTATCTCGCCGGAGATAATGGATTTACGCGCTATATTCGAACGCTTTGATGTCTTTAGACGATTGACTATATTTTTGGCGGAGGAGCAGGCGCATCCACCAAAAATTACAGTGGTTGAATTCGCATTTTACCACCCAGTATTCGCTAATTACGTACCGACGTTCGAGCAAAAACGACCGGTCGATATCGAATTGTTCGTATCGCCAGGTGATCTTTGATTAGCTTCGGCCAGTCGAACGCGAAATCGATTTAACGCGCCCGAAAATATGAGCAATAACCGTAGAGGCGGACGGTCCCTATACCCTAATTACACACATAACGACTCGATTTCGCCGCCCGGCGTTCCCTCCGGCTTGTATACACACACTCGCACACACATACGCATATTTACGAAGATCCCTGAACCTCATCGCGCCGGTTGAAAGCGTAAATTCCGCCATTATCGAGCCGTTGTGGACCGTCCACCTGCACAAACCGCATTTCACATAGACTGCTCGTACATCAAAGTTCAAATGGGAATTGAAAAAGATGAACAATTTGCGGAATATGGACATTTTTTGGATCGTAAAATCCTCCACATCTCTTAGGATTAGTACCCAACTAGGTGACACTGTATTTCTTCTCGAAAAATCGATTCGATTACACTCAGAACGGGTTTCGCGCGAGGAGAAAAATTCTGGGATTCACCGTTGTTTACAGGCGGGTCCAAAGGACCGGAAATCACCGGAACGTGAAACTCGCGCTCGTCGCAATTTGCGACCGGAAGGTCCCCGAGCCAAATGAACGACCGAGTCCTCAAGTTGCGTAAAAATGGCGCGTATATACGCGTCATGTCCGCCGGGACGGGCCCTTCTCGGCGCTAATTCCGGGGCGACGCGATCGAATTTCTGTCGGGTTTTCCTTCTCGAATAAAAAGGGAATTGCAAAAATCATATTCCGACGTAATTCGGTTACTTGTTCTTCGAAAATATTGGCCCTTCAACGGGCCATATTCCCTAGGATTCTTCTACAAAGCATACACCGCTGTGTTCCTGTATTTTTGGATAATTTAAATTAAATAGTCAATAATTGTTAACAATATTGTTATAGGAATTACCCACTCGCGTTATGTTTCTTCTCGAATAAAAGAAGTAGAGCAAAAATGATATTCGAACGTAATTCGATTACTTGGGTTGTGCACGAAAAGATGAAACGTTTTCCGCTGTGATTCGGATTTTAATTCTCGCGAGAGAATGCCGATGAATCAATCTTTGCAGTAAACTACCTAAAAGGTTCCTGGGATACGTTCCGCCTTGTTTTCCTTCGTCATCAAAACAAGATCGACAAATGGTCCGGATAATGGAGGAGTCAATAAAAAAGCATAAAAAATGATACAAGCTCCATTCAGTGCTCGCAAAACGAATTCGTTCCCTCTATTACGTCTCCTTTGCTTTTGTCGAATTTAAATGTAGCCCATCAAGCGCTTGTAAATGATTTTCTACGGCCATGAATCATAATAACAATCCCTTTAGTTTTATACCTAACTCGCATTAAAAAAGCCAGATAAAAATTAACTACATGTAGTCGAATGAAATACGACGAAATTCTCTCTACTCTACTAACAGTGTTCTCCCTAGTTTTAGTGATTTTTTTAAAACATTCGAGTTTTTCTATTCATAATACATACTTTTTATTCAACAAACTTTCACGATTTTCTTGCGCTTTTTTCGTAAGCAAGAAGTTTACAATCTGATGCGAACTATATGGCATTGTTAGGTAGAAAACTCCGTTTGATTTCCGCGAGGATACCTACCAGGAAATTCCAATCCGAGCGAACATCCCGCGATTTACACGCAGGAGAGTTTATGAATCGAAAAAGGAGCCGTCGAAAAAAAGATCTTCGTTTTTCTGGCGAATAATATAGCGATACAACCCGTGCATATTTCGTTTTATTTTCCACCCGGAAAATTCCCCGGCCCGGGGAAGTGTCGCGCTTCCAGATTTACGACGAGTTCTTCGAACAGTGCGTGCCTAACAGGCCTTAAAGCGGACAATACCTCTCTCCCTGCGAAGTTTGCTCGACTCGAAATTTTCACGCCGGGACCTCAGACTGCTCAGACGTATTTCATTTTTGATATACATCGCAAGTTTTCCATACCTGTTGGACGAATTTATTTACATTACCGTCATGCGACAACCGGAGGCGATTTCAACAAATAAAAAAATCCAATGAAAGGCAATAAAGCGATCACATTAATGTCAAATCGCAGGATCTCCTGATAAATATACGCTTTTTTTTCCGGTGGTCCCTTTTACCCTTAGAAAGTGCTACCCTAATTTATAGCTCGGTACGGAGACTGTTGCCGTTGATAACGGAAGGGCGAATGGACGTTTCCCTTATTTCCTA